ATATTTCGAATGCATAAGGCAGTTCGTTAAATGACTTGATAATGGGTCTTTTAACAAGATAATGACACGAAATATTTGCAACCGACTGCCAAGGAGTGGTTTCGGGTCAAGGGGATAGAGGGCATATCTTGGCCCGCACAGTCACCCGACTTCAGTCCCATAGGAACCCTATGATATAACATTAAATTTGTTTCGCAATAAATCCTTGTTGGAACCACATATTTCCCCAGTCGTGTTCTTCAATTGCATGGCAAAAGAAATCGGTTATCATACCATAATGCCATCCACTGCTTGTGTTCAAGCACCCAATTGACATATATACGGTGTTGTGAATGGTCAGCTAGATTTAGTTGTTGCATGAGCTGTACTTTGTATGGATGTTGGTGTAAGTTTAAATACAAAATACACCATAATATGCCGTATGAGGGTTCCAGTTCTTAAGAAAGTCATGAAATAGACGTGGCCAAATTTGAATCATTTCTTTTTCGTAGACCCTGCTCACTTTTAAACTTTGTGTGGTTGTTCAGTGATTCATTTTCTTGAAGATCTAACTTTAAACATAAACAAAACATGTTTGGTTTTACAGTTTAGTGCGGCAGATGTCAAAATACAGTCATGAATTTTTAATCCATCTAAATGGGAGACTGTAAGAAGTAGTTTATGGCACTTTTGGTTTGCTTGGTATACTAAACATATATATATTTATATGTATACGCACACAATTAAGCGTATGAATCTTTATGTCAGGCCTGAAGTATAGAATGCCGCCATTCCAACAATTAAAGATTTCTGATTAGCATTTTCGTTTACGAAAACTTCAGAGAGGCAGTTGTATGATATTCCTACAAAAGCAACAACAAAGAGAAAAGCAACAACACGGTCTGAAATAAGAACTACTACACAGTGATTGCAGTTGGAAAATTTACAACTTCAATAAAATTCTCCAAGAAACACAATGAACTATGTGGCAAAGATCTGACATATATATAAGCTCCCACATACATATGTATATGGCTACAATACAATTGCATTGGTTCATTTAAAAAAGCAACCAAAGAATTGCAAATATGTATTTAAATTTGTATTATTGCCTGCCTCGGCAAACACAAACATGGCAGCAGCTCCATCTACATACGAGTATGTATGTATATGTATATATGTGCTTTGTATATAATACAAACACATGTGGTTGTGTGTGTGAGACTTTGCCTGCAAACTTTTCATTATTGGCATTTAAAATTTTTAGTCTAAATTGCAATCAAAGGCAACAACTTTTTGTTTACAGTTAGCAGGCGTAGTTGCGTATGTATTTTGCTCAGTGTGCAATTGCATTTGTTTCATTGCTGTTTTGACTGTTAGTTTTCCACTAAATGTCCAACATTTTGATTGTTAACAATTCCTAATTTATATTATTTTTACATGCCTGCGTATGAGATTAGCAGAGTTACATCCACATAACGAGAAAATCTAATACAGGGCAAATATATTANTAAATATAAATATAAATATATCTACGTCTAACCAGATATTAGGCCTATCTACGAGATTTTTTTTGAGTTGTGGCTTCCTAAATGAAAAATTTTTGACTTTCATAAAGACTTCAGCCATTCAAGAGCATCATTTTGACTTCAAAAATCTCGTGAGAAAAGTTTGGAGACTTCCAAAAATGCATTTGTTTTTCTTAAATCTATTCAAAAACTATCTTAAAATTTGTCAATTCAAAATTTCAGCAGCCAATTCGTAGTTAGACCAGTTTTAGTGGCCGATCGTCGGGCAAGTTCGAGGGCCGGTGATAGCAAAAAGAATATACGAGGGTATTTACAGAAGCTCTGTAAGTTGACCAAAACTATTCTTGTATTTACTAGATTTTTTAGGAACTGTTCAAGAGCCAATATAGTGAAGCGATGTTGCTGTGAATGACGTCGAATCGACTCTTCACGGTCTTCGTATAGACTCCCAGCCGCTGTATTTTATTCACGGCGCGCTGGACGTGGTCTGTTCGATCGAGTACTATCCATTAATGATGGCTGGGTAAGATGCTGGGTATTAAAATACGTGTATACTTTACACAACGTTAATTTACGCAATAAAGTTGAAGGATTTGTAAACGTTGCTCAGGCAAGGTAAGTATTTCCATGATGCTTTGCAAAACAATATTGAACAGTAATTACATGGCATCTTCACACGTCTCACGCGATAGCAGCCATGAAAAGGCGATTGAAAAAATTACCTCTGGTGATCCAACCGTTAAATGAATTGAAGTTAGAGAAAAATTAAATTCAATTATGATAACATCTTTTGGCTCAGGTACAACTACAATACATTCATCGACAACACCATAATCATTCTTCGTCCTCATTTTGTAGCTAACTTCAAGATAATTTACCGCAAAGCATACCAACTTTAAGCGCTCGACAAAATTTGCGCAGTTATATTCGCATTATTTTAAATGTGCAATTTTCTCTAACTCACACAACAACAAGAGGAAATGGTGAAATATATGTTAATGTCCTGTATTGTGGCTCTAAATAGAAAATCGCGCCTACACTTGCGTACAAACGCTTGTGTTTCGTTGCTGCTAGTGGCGCTAAACATACATACACGTATGTGGATGCTTGCTTGTAAATTCAACAGCAATCAAGTTGCATAAAATTTTGCGAAGTTTTCACATTACACAAGAAAGATGCCATAAATGGTGATAACAACAGACGCAAAGAGTTTGTACATATAAACATATGTGAAGATGTCTGTAAAGTTGATTTCTGAGAAAGTGGTACATAACTTTCTTCCAGAAATGATTTTTGCAAATTATGTATTTGAATAATTTTGCTTTCACATGATTTTAAATACACACACTTCATCTTATGATTCACTCAGCCGAATGAGTGAGTTATACTGCAGGAAACCAAATAATTTGAGAAGTAACTAGCAGTAAAAGGTTTTGGTATATTTTATAAATGAAGTGAACCTAACGGCATGCCAGCGCCTAGATATCTTTCTGTCATGCAAATTAAAAATTATTTTTAATCTCATGCGCTTTTAGGTAAAACTATTTTGTGTATGACAGAAAACTATTCCCGTTTGTACAATAATTTTTCATTGAGTTGCCAACTATCCGCGAAAGTATAAAAATTCTAATTTGAAAACTTTCAAATAGTTTTGTTGAATTCTAAAAGTGAGTTAAAGTTTTTATACATGTGGCAACATTGCTGAAAGTATTTTTGTATCTAAGAATTTTTAAACCTGCTTCGGATTGCAAATTCATTTTATTTGGTAAGAAATTCCTTCCATCGCTGTAATATTATTTTCTGAAAGAACTCACAGCTCAAATGCTCTCTTGAGTCACACTTACCGATTCCTTTTCAGCCAAGTTTTTCGAGATAAATAAATTGACAAATGTGGCAACTCTATTTTATTAAAAGATCATTGTTTTCGAAATATCGCTATTGACATCAGTGTTACTGAATTATCATTATTTTTTAAACGTTTGAAATTTGATTTTGATTCCCTAAAATAACAATAAATTAAAAGGTGTGTTGGGCCAGCCCTTTAAATATCGCATATAGGGTACCCTCGAGCGCATTGTGTAAAAATCTAAATGCAACAGTCAATAAAGTAATTGGACTCTATCAGCTTAGCTTTTGAACCGCTAAATCCACTATTGACTAGATATTCACTATGCGCCAAATCTTGGAAAAGGCCGGTGAGAAATTCACTCTCGCCAGTAGGTACCATTTTGAACTGAGTAGGCAATTGAAAGTTAAAGTACTCTCGCGACGAACCCAAGCCAAACTCTACAAGTACTTCCTCATACTCGTCCAACTGTATAGTGCAGAAGCATTAAGAACGAGGAGACCCTGAGATTTTTTGAGTAGAATTTATGGCCCTTTGCGTATTTTCTATGTCAAGTACTATAGCCCATGGAACGAGTTCGGCAAGTTTTACGGCGAAATTGATATATAATAGTTTGACGTATGATGAGACAACAGCTTTTAAAGCAGAGGAAAAGGAAGACTTTAACTCCATAAGCCAGGCCCACCCAAATGAAGAAGAGAAGAAGAAGAAGGTGGGTCTAATGAAACTGACAATAAACTATAGAAGCACCGGGTAAAGCAGAATAGAGTAGAAAAAAGAATAACTGAGCAAGTTAGAGCAACTAGAAGCAGATATGCTTAATATTTCTATAATGAAAAATTTCCTAATTTCGTAAGAGATTTTTTAATAATTTTTGTGTCCGAAAAATTTTTATTTACCTTTTTAATTATTTCATGCTTCATACACTGTTTAAGTTTTCGATTGATGGGCCAAGTCGAAAAGTAAACTGCAGCACCACTGACTGCTGCATTAGATGTGTGATTGGCGATGGTAACAACCATCTATGGAGCGCAACGGGTACGAGCTCGGGCTAGCAACTAAAATTAAAAAGAAAAAAAAACAATTTCAAAGCTAAACTAACATTGCTGACCCTCCGCCCCTAGTAAAAGCTCCTTCAAAAGTCTAATTGCCGTTCCGAAAGGACTTAATATTTGAAAAAAACTCCAAAAATCGATGCTTTATTTTTTTCATTTTAGGGGCAAAAAACATTTTTGGGACACTATAAACATTTTTTAATAATTTTCGTAAATGACTACATTCATTTCATTCCTCCGAGCGCGTTTTTGGAATTATTTATGTAAAAATATTTATCTTGGTAAAAACTAAGCTCTCAAAGAATCCACGCTTGTTGGTACAAACTTTAAAAAGTGTACCTCATAGAAATTTATCTTTTAAAAACCTGAAAAAAACATTAAAAAATTAAAATTTCTTCTCACATGTGTTTTCATTTATTTTTTAAAGAATTTTTTTCACCTGTGTTAAAATACCAATAAAATAGCCTATTGAATGACTTAATAAGTAGCAGAGAAAAATTAAGAAAGATTATTGAAAAAAATTTAAGAAATAATAAATAATATTCTCAAAAATTTATTCATCCACCTCACCCCATTAATAAACTCCTTATATGTTATTTATTTAAAAGATATATATTTTATATAATTTAAATATTTTTTAAAAGTTATTTCAAGACTTTCTTCGTATACGTATATTTTTGAGTACTACAAACATATTCACAACATTAGACACACAAAATCGAGAGTACTAGACAATAAAAATGAATAAATATATATGTGTTCTTAATTAGTAAAGCAGCGCGGTTTCTTCTAGTAAATAAATAAATCAGTTATATAAAGACATTCTACAAAGCATAGGCACGACGCATTATCAAATCAAAGAACATGTCATTATCAATGGAGGCGCTAATGGTGGCGTAGTAATTCTCAAACTCCTCTTTGGTAATCTATAGAGAGTGGAAAGAAGGAATGGTAGAAAAATAGGATTTATTCGCTTTTACACAGCTTTCACACATTAATTTTAGCCCTCCAACTTTTCAACAACTCACCTTTCCATCCAAATTGCCACGACCACCTTCGAAATTATTCAAAAATTCTGTCAATATTTCATCTTCACTCATTTCACCGCTCTGATATTTCGGATGCTCTTTCACCGAGTAGACATTCTTCAAGTCATCCAAAGTAATAACACCATCACCGGTCTTGTCCATTTTGGCAAAAGCTTGATCGATTATGTCTAGACGACACTGCGGCATCGGTGGCTACCGGAAATAGACGATAATTTATAACAAAAGTTTCTTACACAGATACATACAATATTTTAAATGACAAAAAAGAAACAAGTAAATGAGCTAAGTTGTTAATTATTGTGGTAGAAAATAATATGCGCACACTCACCCGCAGTTTCAGTAGGAATTCAGTCATATTAACGGAGCCACTGCCATCTTCGTCGAAACTAAATTAACACAAAGTTAAGCGTTTTGTTGCAATTTACCAAACATTCTACTTGTATATTTGTAAGTGTGTTATGTTTGTGCTCACTCACCACTTAAACATCTCCTTAATTTCCTCATCAGACACATCCAAACCCGTCTCATGTATGCCATTAATGAACTCTTCCTCATTCAGCGCTTTGCTGCCATCATCGTCCATATTGCGAAAAGTTCTATTGAAAAATTTATGGTATGCCATTGAATTTCAATTAACAATCATTTGTGATTTTTCATTCTTCCCACCCTTCCCCCTACTTACCTGCCCAAACCGACTATGCCCGTAGCACCGCGACTCAGACATAACAAACGTAATTTCGTAATTGGATCTTTCTCCTCGCCATTCGCCAGTTCTCGCATTGACTTGTTAACCAAATTGGCTTCCAACGAGTAGAGATCTTGGTTGGTTACCTATGGTGGAGAAGCAAATTTCATAATTAACATATTTTAATTAAAAAAATTGGTTAGATTTTAAGTGCTTATTTTAATGGGAAATCAACGATACTGTTAGATAGAAATGAGAGCACTCGAATTTTTGCATGACATTGCGAAAAGTAGACGAAAAGAAAATATTTCTTTACACTAAGTGAAGCAAAAAATTTCACAAAAAATTTTGAATTTAAATGTATACTCATTTGATGTGAGGAGAGTAATGTACGAGTATACGTAGTATGCAGTTTCAGTACTTTTGTGGTAGAGGGAGAAAGATAATCTAGATGGTAAACAATTAATGGAGGAAACACATCCCTGGCTTACTTAAATGCAATGACAAAGAAAGCAATGGGGACGGCGATGTCGAACCACAAATCGACTACGATGGTACATATGTTTCATCAGAAAATTTGATGAAGTTCGATAGCAATCAACCACTAGAACAAATCAACAGGATACGATGGATAACCACCTGAGCTGTTCAAATATTGAGGCGAAGAACTCCAAATTTTTTGGAAAATATGGTTAGGCGTTCGTTTTTCTGCCCAAGAGAACATGGGAATCAGTATTATTAATAAGTGGGTTTAACCTTGAAAACAAAGTCCTTTTTTACAATGAATGAAAATATATATAGAGATCTAAGCATACGCAAAATCAGGGAAGAGATTGAAATCGTTACACAAAAGTACAAAGCAAAGCTGCACCATTACCCGAACCATTTGGTTATCACCGTGGCCACCGCAACAAGTCAAACGCACCTGAAGAGAAGGGACTCACTACTCATGTGAAGAGCAACATTGAGCCAGCACTCCATTTCTAGCTAATGGGCTATTACATTTTATTTTTTTTTTTTTTTCAGATCTGACAGTGCCAGCAGTCGTGAAATGGCCATAACATTTAAGTTGTAAATTATTTCGTCTATCTGCATACGAACAAGCATCAATAACTGCGCCAATATCAGTATTAAAATACAACGCTGAATCCGTGTTACTCCTGATGTTGACAACATCTCACGTAGACCAGCTAGACTAGACGAGTAAGAAAAGAAGTTGGAGGAAGAATAGTAGAATTATATCCACAAATCAAAATATGGTCTGCTGGTGTATGGCATGGAAATGGGTTGGTGAAGTTAAATTAACTTAACTGAAGTTTACCAGATATGAAGCTTACTCAAATTCACTTACATTGCTCCCTCCCTCTCGGGAAAGTATAGAAAGAAAATTTAAAGGTAGTTTAAGATTTTTAACTTGTCTGGTGAAAAAAAAATGTTTCGTTAAAGAAGTTTGAAAATTCGATACAATTATTTTTTATTTCGTTCTAAGGAGTTAATCTTTATTATCTTACACTCAAATGGAATTAACGTGATGGCGTCAGTAAGACATTCAGTACCAAAAAAGCTTATCTGACTGTTTTGAGATTGGTTTTATTCAGTTTTGTGTAAGCATCCGCCAAAGAAGACTATCTCAGAAAACATACGATATATTTTACGGGTTTTCTTAGATAAGGCCGAAAACGCATGCCAAGCGGTTGAAAATTTGAGTAGTAGTAGATTATTGCCTTGATACTGTTAAAATCAATCCTACACATTTCATTGGTTTCATTTCAGTAATTTTTATGTAAAAGATGATTCACGAAGTGACCAATGGTCGAAAATGTCGATCAAATCATGGGCATTGCCGATTCCGACCATCAAGTAAGCACTCTTTCGATTGCCCAAGAGCTAAAGATTGCACAAAAAACCGAAAAGAAAAAATTAAACCATTCAATTTCATAGAAAAATAATGGATTACTTTTTACTACACCAATATATGTATATACACATACATCTGTATATTGCTACATGAAATCGCTTTGTGGTTTCATTGGCGCCGAAATACACACAAAAGGAAATTACGTGAAGGCGAAGCAAAGCGTTTAAACTGAAAAGCAAACAGGTGAGTCAAGATTACTTTCACAAAGACGTAACGATGTTGGCGTAATAAATAAAAAAACAACAACAAAAGCAGATTATAATGAAAAAAAACAACAGCGTGTGAAGTGGCGCGCAATACATTTATGACTCACTGAAATGCTGAAGAGTAAAAAAAGTAAAAAAAAAATTATGAACAATTACAACAAAACTAAAAAGCCGCAAACAATTAAGGCTAGCCACATATGTACATACATATGTATATGTAGATATCTTCCAATGTTTATATGTACATACGCGTATATGCACGTATAGCTGTCAGACGAGTTGTGACTCTTACAAGAGCAAAGCTTGAGTCGTATATGGGAAAGAACAACAATTGAAAAAATTTAATTACTTCAAATTTTCACGTGAACACTGTTATAAGCGTATTAAAGCAATAAAACCATTTTTCTTATTATGTGTGAGTGTTAAAAATTTGATTGCCACTTCTGGCGGTCACTGCCCTAAATACACACGCCATTCGGCTTGCTTCAATTTCGCTAAAAATCGAGTTCTACTTGAGCACATACACACACACACACAGCTACACTCTACTTACATCTGCTTCCTCGGACATTTTTTCACACACAACTAAATTATTGAACTTTTAGAAAATATTCAATTAAATTTTCCGTGTGGAAATAATTTAACTTTAGACCAAAGCGTATTTATTTGGAAAACACCAAATACGAGAGTCTATGAAGAGTAGCTAAATAAGTTTTATGTCAATAAGTTTTGCTTTGCTGAGCGATCTACTTGTTGTTACTCTGCCGGCTTTGAAAGACAAACTAAAGTTGGAAAGCGTTGAGTAAGCCAGTAAATGTGTCTGTCGTCTGTCTGTGAAGAAAGCGTTTAAGTTTGGCGTGGGGCCGGCAAACCGCAGCGCAAAACGAGTACATGCATATGTGGATAAGTACATATATATGAGTATTTATATTTATATTGCCCACACGATTGTATATCTTATATAATAATACCACATATATCGCACTATATATAATACAGTATTACCTTCACATATGAATGTGCCGGCAAATTAACGAAAGTGCGGCAAGGTGTATGGGCAAATAGTGGCGCAGCGCAAAATATTATATCTGATAGATAATCTTATGTGCATGCTATGTACTCGTGTGCGTTTGTTTGTTGCATGCAACAAAAATATTACTATCACTTTGGTATTTAAATGGAAATTAAATTAGAGTAATAAAAAAAAGCAAACAAAAAATAGTAATTTAAATCGATTTCCTGTCATTGACATGGATATTTTGTTGTTGATTTTCGGTCATTGGATATATTTGTGAGTCATCGAGATTTTAAAAAGTGCTCATATGCATTAGTTTAGTTCTTGAAAACTAAATTTATAAGAAATTTTCCGTTTAAATGAAGAGTGGATTTGGTTTGCATAATTTAGTTTAGTTTTAGAGAGTTAATAGGTAAAGTAGAACCCAACTGCTGATATGGAACGAGTTTTAGCATTTTAATATTCAATTCGAAAATTAATAAAAGCTAATTACATTCTATGAAGAAGCAGACGCTTTGGGTTGCAGGTAAGTATTTTAAGACTAATATGGAGTGGGGTAGATCAGGTGAATATAATGAAGGAAAGTACACCTCAGCGCTTATAAAAGCGTCAGTTATATATGTTAGTAAATATATATAAATATATATACTAGCTGTACCCTGCATATACCCATTGAATGAAAGAAAAACTAATCATGGGAAATTTTTTTATCATAGCTTGTTCACTCAATACTTGAGAGAGTCCCACACTTTTGGTTTAACGATTGACATTTGTGCACTTCCCGAAAAGAGGAATAGGCTTCCTATAAATCAAAGCAAAAAACCTCCTATGTATAGAATTTTAAGTGATTCGATCCATTTAAAATTTTTTTTAATAGTTCTATCCCCTGTCCACTTCCCGAATTTTCTTTTGGAAAAAAAACATATAGGGAATCATAGAAACAATCTGATGAAATTTCAAGTCATTTGGTTTGGTACTTTTTGGAAATTTTTGGAAATTACTTGATATTTCCAAATTCATGTTACCCTACAACAAATCAGGAAGCCATAATTTCAAAAAAAAAAATTTTTAAATTTTTTCTTCCGTAGTTTTTTATGTCATCCAAATTTATTGTTGCTCTTTCTATTAGTAATATTTTATTATATTGAAAATATTTTATTGAATATAAATTGCTCCTTTTTAATGTTTTTATCAACCCAATATTCTCAGGTATGTAGGTAAGTAAGTGTGTTTGTCAAATTGGGAGCAATCTGTAGCCCAGTTTTAGATACTCGTTGTGATATGATTCCCCTTAATCCATCTAGGTTCTCAAACAAAACTCTATAGCCAGTAAAATGGCGCAATATATTCCAAATTTTATTGAATTTGGCCCACCACATCACCGCTGGTATATAAATTACTTTACTAAGCTGCCAATAATAGTAATAAATTACTTAATTTATATATCATGTACATGTCATAAATATAATCAAAGAGCAAACAGCTGCTTTCTTTACTTATGTTCTTTGATATGCCTTGCCGAACGAGTTAATCGGCTAACCAACCATTTCCTACATCACTGCGACTATAAACTGATATGTGATATTGTTTTCAGTCAACTTCAAGCGAGATCTGCAAAAGGCTAGAAAAATTTTAGAGATTATGATAATCAAGACTCTTTCTGAAAAACGTTCATCAGATTGTTTGGCTCTGTTCATGATAGCAGGGATCTCGGTCTGAAACACACTAAATTTATTATCTCGCTTGAAAATAGATTCTATGGACAGATTTTTCTTCTTCTTTTTCCTTTTTTTTTTTTTGGGCGTTATAATTCTTAGTTTTGGTTAGATAAAAAACGTTAAAAATCACTAAAAGTGTAATTCTCTGCGTTTTTAAAAGCTTACTAAATTCTAATTATCTGCTTTGGTCGTATCTAGTGCAGCACTATGGACGTACTATCGTCTATGCTGGACTTTTTAAGGAGTCAACCAGTCCAAATTAGCTTAGACTAAGCCAGAGTGAGGATCTTTAAACCTTAATAACCAGTACCGCAAATAACCAAAATACAATAGAAAAATATTGGGCTTACCACGGTTAAAAATAAGTCGTGACACATTCTCATTCTACTTCTTAAGTTTAATATCTTGTCCGAAATGGCCCCCCGACCCTAGTTCTAACACACATTGTGGACTTATTATCGAAAAAAAAAAACAATTTAAACTGAAATTGTAATATTATCATTGAAAAGAAAGATTAAAAGGAAACACTCTCGTTTAAACTCAAGATAGTCTGGACGGGTTTGACTGTTTTTGATCTTGAAGTATTTGAGCCAGTTCAGAAGAGAGCGGTAAGTAACATAAATAAAACGTAATGGAAAATACTAGACAAAAGTAAGGAAAAAATATATAATAATAATAAATTGGAATTTTTGTAGAAATTTCAGGCAAGAACTATTCGAAAAAGTAGAGAGAATAGACATTTATTGTACGAAAAGTGATGCATAATACAAAATGTAAGCCAAAACATTGGATTTTATGAAAATACAAATTATTGAAAGATTTTCGGAATCAACTTGGAATTTACCTGTTTCGCAGTATAATTGAAATAGCTATTAATGGAGTTTGTTGAATAATTTAGAAGTGTTTCAAAACAATTTTTTAATTGATTAATTGTTTAAAAATTGTTAAGTGTGAATTTTGAGTATGACTTACTACCATTTATATTTTTTTATATGCTTGTATTACCTTATGAAGAATTGAATTAATCTATATTAGTTTTTAATTGAATAACATATTGAAAAAATTACAAAAAATTCTGGACTCACTCGTAAGAGCTGAAAGCAACTTTCATTCTGACTCGTTCATACTTAGAAATTTGTCAATTGACAAACTGCATACAGTTACTCACAGAAGTATATTTCCAATAATAAAGCTTAATGCCTTGTACAATAACTATATCTTGCTTTTAAATAAATATTTCATTACTAGCTGAAAAAATATTCAATAATTCAAATAATCATTAAGTTCAAAAATATTTTTAATTGACTTAATTCCTTTAAACATTTGCTTAAACATTAATTAATATTGTTTACGGAAACCATTATATATGGCTTATTTATTTCTGGGTCTTTGGGGGGTCAAAACGTTATTCATGTGTCCTTTTAACTGATGCTTGCCTTAGAGGTTGACCCAAAGATTTTGAAAGAGATGATAAATAAAAAAAAAATAAAAAATTGGTTAAAATAAAATTTCAGTATTCAACATTACCATTTTTCATTCCGGAAATATAAATTTTTCCTAGAAATGAACAACAAAATGTTTTAAGCAATGTGACTTCTACAATAACTACCTGAGCAGATATTCAACCACTTTGCATGCCAGAATCTCCATCACTCGTTATAAGGTAAACAACAAAATTAATTAGGTTTCCATGGAAGGATGAGTTGAATAAAGTTTTTATTAAGAGCTGATATATGGAAATTTGAGCAAATTTTCTCTTATTATTTGGCACCATTTTTTTATTTCCCTAATATCAGCAATTTTGGAAATCTCTTCGGTGTCAAACTTTTTAGATCACTGCGTTATTCAAACAATTTTAATGATTTTTCAGTAATTTTTTTCCAATAGTTTTATGTTTAGTTGTTGAAATATCAGTTGGCATTTGTGGTTCGCTCGGAGAACAAGAGAAAAGCAAATTCATTTAAATTTTATTAATTCTTATAGTATTCGAATATACCTTGAAACAGGTAAACATACATATCTACACTGCGCCTATAAATTAAAAATTTCTACTTACAACGGCATATGCAAAATACTTCTGAGAGTAACTGTATATACATCATTTCAAATGATATACATACATTTGTATGCCTTTTATTGTTCCATGCATACATACGTACATACAATGTGTATCGTGCAATGATGATGAATAAATAATGAAAAGTGTTGCCGGTGAATAATGCATGCGCAACAACAACAAAAATAAGGTCAAATGAAAATTACCAAAGTACCTACGCGTACAAGTAAAGCAATATATGAGAGTAGGAGTACGAAAACAAAATAAACAAAAACAAATACAAATAGAATATAAAGCATACTAAAGCGGCGACAAAGCTCTTCGTCACTCTTCTGCATCGCATCGTCACCCACATGCAGTCGACGAAGTAGAGCCACCAATTGACATTCAGTGATTGCCAACGATTGACATACAAAAACAAAATTCATAATAAAGCTAAAAAGAAGAGCTGTATTCGACCATGCCGAAACCTTTATACCTCGCATGAGCATTTGAAATTTAAGGTTTTTTTTGAGAATTAAATATTAGTTCCCATATCCGAAGAAAACGTTTTTATGGTAACTAAATGGTTTAGTCCTAAGATTAAAAGCGTGTTGTATATTCATTTCCATGAAGTATTTATGATCCAAACTCACTCATATAACAAATTGGTTGCGTGGATGCTATATGAGACGGTCGACCGATTTGGCCGGTCACAAAACTACAAGTTTTGGCTAACACCAAGAACGGAAAGATTAGTTTTCATTCAAGCAGACGGACAATCGGATAGACGTTCAGGCACATCGGTCAGTATATCGCTAAGGTAACTCAGTTCGTCATTCTGCTCATATCGGGAAAAATTTTAGTGCACCAAAGATAATGTGCAATTTTATGTTAATGAAGGGCATAAAAACTGTTGTAGAGAAAGGCGAAAAAGACAGAAATCAGTTGAGTGTGAGCTATTAGCTTGGAATATTTTGTTGTAGCGCACAGGAAAGTACGCGCAAATGTATGAATGTGTGTACGTATGTATGTACATGTTTGA